CTCTCAAAAAAAAAAAAAAAAAATCGATTAAAAAATATATCCTTCGGTGAGGATTAAAAAAAAATTAAGGTCAAAATGCACATTTTATTCCTGTGACTCCTACAAATTATTTTCAACTACTTTCCAAGGTGTAGACATGTGAGGACTAAAGACAAGTTCGTTGTTGGGAAGGAATATCAACTCTTGGTGAAATATGGATGGCAGGAAAAAGGAAAACCAAAAGCCTCTTTCAGCAGGCCTCAGGATTCAACAACTACAAAACCAAAATTACTCGTGACCATGGTCTTCTGGTAAAAGGGATATATTAAAGTTGACAGTACTTAAAGTTCTAATAACAGCCACTGCTTTCTGGAGACTACGATCAGTTGAAACAGGCTTATTTGGGGAGGGTTCTTTTCTTAGCAAAAACAATTACATCAGATCTGGATGTCCTAACGTTCATTTCTAGGGCTTCTCTTTGAAGTCAGTTATGTCGACTCTTAAGAGTAATTTACAGTACCTACGTGCTAAATGTCACCATTAAAAATAGTTAACGCTGGTCTCAAGAAATGGCGTCTGTCACAGAGGCACTAGCAAAATAAAAAAGTAGGAGTCCAGATTTTATTTTATTTTTTTTTTAAGATTGAAAAATGACACCCGAGACAAAAATTTTTTTGATCAATAAATTTTCAGGAAGTGGAACAAGTCGCTCTGGGACTTTGAAAACTGGTCAACTTGAACTTGGAAGGGGTTTTGGCAAAGACGACGCTGTGGGAAACAAGTATCTGAACAAATCTTAACACGACCTCACATTTTTCTCCCCCCAACTGTTCAAGTGTCAGACAAAATAAATTACCATAAATTATATGCCAAGGCAACTTCAAAACAAAACAAAACAAAACATGAGGCCAAGGATTTCCTTAGCTCCTCCGGGAAGCGTGTAACACTGTTTGCGCTTCTGGCCCGCAGGCCGGGTCGAGGCGGGGCCGTCAAACGTCAGGATAGCTGCAGTAATACACCGCGGAGCTGGCGTCGGACACCACGGAGGAGATGGCCCCGTGGCCGTCGGGGACGCTCACGCTCGAGTCGTGCCCCTGGTAAGGGAGGCCCATCTCGGGCTTGCACACGTAGTGCAGATACTGTTCGAACTCCGTGCGGTCCACCTCCCCGAGGAGCTCGGCGGGCTGGCTGGGGTCCGCACCGTCCCGGCAGGACAGCGCCTCCGGAGGGGGCGACGGCTGCCCGGGGCCCGCCGGGTGCTGCTGCGGCTGCA